GCCAAAGTCTCCATCCTGGAGCTTTTAGCCAGGAATGCTCCCTGGCTTGGAAGCGCTCTCTGTTTGTTTTCCCACTTTCCCCTCCCATCTCCTGCATTTTCTCCCAATCCTTGGGGTGGGATAGATCCTTGCTGGAGCCATTAAATCCCATTCCACTCATCCAGAGGCAATCCATTAGCCTGGTTTGTTGCCTGGTTTCCTTATCAGCCTCGATGTTATCTCGCCGTTCCTGTTGTAAATCCAAAGTTTCCTCCTGGAGAGGAAGGGAAGAGTTTGCCCAAGGCACGGGTGCCTGTTGTTATTCCTGAGAAAAAATCCATCCAGAGGGATGGAACCACACCCAAACAGGCTCTGTGTCCCCAAAAGGGCTGGGAGGAGATGGGAATGAGGGGTTGTGGCATTCCTGGGATGGAGGGAGCGGAACCACACAGAGCAGAGGAGGTTTAATTTGGATTTTAGGGATTCCAGCCCCGAAAAGGGATTTTAAAAGGCGGAAGTGGGAAATTCTTTGGACATTCAGCTTTTAGAGGTTCCAGTTAATTCCCAAAATTCCTCAGCAGGCTGAGATTCCCGGTGGGTTTTAGGCCATCTGGATCCTGTGGGCACACTCTGGGTTTTGCCCCAGGAATTGATGCAGATTTCATGATTTCCCTCTTTATCCCCAAAATAGTTTGGGAGGAGATAGGAATGAGGGATTTTGGCATTCCCAGGATAGAGGGAGCCCAACAAGCAGAGCAGGGGAGGTTTAAGTTGGATTTTAGGGAAATTTCCTTCCCAAAAGGGATGTCCAGTGTGGAAAAGTGAATTAAAATGTGGCAGTGGGAACATTCAGCTTTGACATATTCCAGTTTTTCCCCAAAATCTCATCAGGTTGAGATTCCCAGTGGTTTTTAGGCCATTAGGGATAATTTGGATCCCTTTGGATGCTTGGAAAGGTCGTTGTGCCCCTGGAATCGATGTGGATTTAATGATTCCCCTGCTCCTGGCACTGGGATGAGTCAGGAGAGCTCCAAAATCCAAATATCCCCCTGGAGATGAGTTTATTCAGGGGTAAAAATGATGATTTTTGTGCTTCTTCCCAAGAGAAAGGGACTTCTCTGGAATTAAGAATGTTCTGGGTGGGGTTTTTCCATCCCTGGCAATAATCAGGGAATTTTTAATTGTAATTTTAATCAGTGCAGCAAATGGGAGAAGGGAATGAGCCGAAATTGTGGGAAATCTGCTGGATCTGGGAGGAATGAGGAATTCCAGAGTTATTATTATTGGAGTTATTTTTCTAATCCAGGGATGGGACAGGGAGGATTGAGAAATAGAAAAAGGAGGGGGAAAAATGTGGAGTTCTCCAATGCGGCTTCAAAATCATGGAAATTTCCCAGGTTTCCTTTTCAGGATGTGGGTTAAGGGAAACAGGAGCATACTCGAGGTTTCAAGGCTTGGGATGCATTTTTATGTGGAATTTTCTACTTAAAAGTCCCTATTTTCAGGAAAATGGCGAGATCTTGAAGACTTGGCATTGATTAAAGGAAAAGGAGTTGGTGACAGCTTCCTTTTGGGAATTCTTTGGATTAAATTGCCCCCCAAGACTTTTCCAGGGTCAGTGTGGTGTTTTTAGCTAGGGAATGTGGAAAAACTTGTGGAAAAAATTATGAAAAAGAGAGAAACAACCCCAGGTACTAAAAGCAAAATCTTTATTTCAGCTACTTTTCCCAAAGCTGGGGAAGGCGAGATCCATGGAAGCGTTTTCCTGGCAAGAATTTCCCTGGATTCTTTGTACAAAAGGTTTGGGAAGCAAACGAGAGACTGGGAAAAATGAAAAGAAGGAATGGGATAAAATGATGGGGTTTCACTGCATGCACCATGGTTCTATCCATAATTTTTTAGGGAAAAACCCCCAAATCCCCAAAAATTACTACTTGAAGAAAAACTCCTTTTTCTTTCCCATTTTTCCTCCATTTCCCAGAAATTATGGTGCCCCAAAATGGTAATTTCTGAGGAAAAACCCCAAATGCTCAAAAAAAAAGAACCAAAAAACACAACAAAAACCTTTTTCTTTCCAGTTTTTCCTCCGTTTCCCAGAAATGATGGTGCTCCAGAATGGGAACGTCCAGGTGGGAGCACTGCCTGAAATCCCAGCTTGGCAAATCCCAAATTCCCAGCATTTTGTCCAGTTGGGAAGCACATTCCCAGGCTGGATTTTCTTCTGGGGAAGTTTTTCTCTGGAGCTCGTGGTTGTACCAAGCTCTGTTTCCCTGGAAAAGCTTTCCTGAATCCATCTGCTGTTATTTCTCTAATTCCGCCATTCTGCTGGAACCATGGAATATGACACAGAATGGAACCGAACTGGAATTTGGGATTAATTCCCGTGCAAAATATTGATTTTAATGCCAAAATTCCTGCCTGAGAGGAGCCAACGGGGTTCTGTTGAGGGAGGTGGCTCTTATTCACTGAGATCTTTGCAGGAATAACAAAATTCCTTAATTAGCACCTGGATAACCACTCTGGTCCTCAAGGATAATTATTTTATCGTAATTATATCCTAATTTTTATAATTCTTTATCTAAAGCACAGCAAAGGAGGAGAATTCCGCTGCCAACTTGGCAAACTCCTCAGGGGTGTTCCTGAGGGTCTTTACAGGGATTTAGGAACCTTCTGGAATTTTTGTGCAGGTGGAACAGCCACCTTTGTCCGGACATGGGTGGAAACTCACCGTTCCAAGGGCTGCAAATATTCCAAATGGAATGGGAGATGCAGAAAGAAGAGAAATTTTTGCTGCTAAGTTTGCAGCTCTTCAGGGATGTTCCTGCTGGGCTACACAGAGAGTTGGAAAACTTCTGGAATTCTTGTGCAGTTGGAAAAGCTCCCTCCATCCACAAAAGAGTGGAAAAACCACCCTTCCGAGGGCTGCAAATATTCCAAATGGAATGGGAGATCTTAAAGATTTGCCACTGATTTAGAGGAAAAAGAACAGGTGACAACTTCCTTTTGGGAATTCTTTGGGTTAAAGGAGCTAAAATTGCCCCCAGAGAAAGAAGGGAAATTTTTGCTGTCAGTTGGACAAACTCCAGGGATGCTCCTGAGGGGCCACAAAGGGAGCTGGGAAACTTCTGGAATTCTTGCGCAGTTGGAGCCACACAGATGTGGAAAAACAACTCTTCCAGGGCTACAACCATTCCAGATGGAATTCGAGAGGCACTTTTAGAGGGAAGACACTGCTGGGTGGCCCTGGAGCTGAAGAGCTCCTACTCCAGGGCGGGTTTGATCAGGTGCCCGTTGAAGATGATGTAAAGATCCGACTCCTCGCTGTAAATGGCATTTTCCCTCTCCCTCTTGAACATCCTGACCCAAACCTCCTCCCCTTCCTGCAGATCCAGCATCAGGCTCTGGCTCTGCATGATGCTCCTGTCGCTGGGCTGGGCGTACAGGATGGCCACGGCCTGCTCGTTCCTCATCAGGTGCACGTAGGTCTCCTTGAAATTCCAGGTGTGCACGTTGAGGCTGAAGTAGTAAACGCCGGGCACGTAGCAGAAGAACTTTCCGGAGAACATGTTGAAGTGCTGGTAGAGGTTGACGAGCTCCGTGTCGAAGGTGACGAGCTGGAAGTAGTCGGAGCTGTGCAGGGCCTTGCGGCGGCCCACGGAGAAGGCGGCGAAGAGCTGCTTGCAGGGGTGGCCCTGAGGGCCCGGCT